CCTTTTTGTCCAAAAGTTAATTCGTTTCGTGTTCATGGTCTAATAGTAATTTGTGAAAGTCACATTTGAATGGGTTCAAAACGACAAAAGAAGTTAGTCGGTTGTGATTTAGCAATAAGGTTGGTTGCAAGCTTGTGCCCGCATATTAATCGCCTAAGCTCGTGCAGTATGCGACACCACGAGCCAATTTGGGAGCTTAAAATGTACTCGACTACTGAGAATTTTGTGGCTAACGAAAAAAACGATTACTTCATATGATTAATGTTTTTCAAATATTGTCTTGTCTCGAATGATAAAAGTGACGACGTGAGTAATATGGAAAACATGTTACACACACACACACACGTGAGGAATCGTCAAACGTAACGTGTTAAGGGGGTGGGAAGTAGAGAAGGGTGCGGTGGGTTAAATTTTAATGGAAAAAAAATCGATAACCGATTGGTAAATCGATGAAATCATTTCATTTTGGGAGATTTCGATTAGGAACGATAGAGAGAACGATAAGAAATGTTTAAACGTGCTGTATTGTGGGATATAGTATGAGTGTATTCATGTATGTTTGTGTGTATAGATGGATGTGTGTCTATATGTATAGAGAAATGTGTCAGTAGTATAGAACGGTGAATGACCAGACAGCTGAAGGCTCGATCAACCGCGTTCCCGGATATTACTGATACCGAAGAGTATTCGATTTGAACGTAACTGGGTAGTTTCATCCGATTAAATGGCACGCAACAACTTGATGAATCTTCTCTGGATTGGTAATAGATACTTTCACGAGTCAATCAAAGATCGTTTCATAGGAATCAAAAAATATCTTTACCGATTCCTTTTGATATCTGATATGAAAAGAACCCATCATTTCGATCACATTTAAAATTGTCATGGGATTAAAATGAACATTCGTTAATTAGTATTCTAAAAATAAATCCTTTCATTGATATCGATTAAAAATCATTATGTCAACATTATTTTTGAAATATTATTTCTCTAACAAATGTATACTAAATCATTTTTATTTTATTTCCCTCACAACAAACACCCCACGATATTATTGAAAAATTTGAATTCATATTATTCATCGATGTTTGCTGTTTATATTCATTTAATTCATTACACAATAAGTCATGCATTAATAAACATTAAAAATTGACTTATGACTTTTGAAAAAAAAAAGAACTTTTCATTTCGTTAGATCAAATGAATAAGATATGCTTGTACACAGTGGTAGTATTAACTATACTTGAAGGATTATTACTTTAGACACGAATTCAGGTTTGAACAATAATGAAAGATTTTTATCACGGTCATTAGAACGCAAGCAACACTTGCAGATGAATCGAAATAGAATTGCATGTAGTAGCCTATAAGCGAGGAATTGTTGCAGTTTCATCAATCACCTCAATAAGCGCGAGCATTAATAATCGACCGCTATTAAATATGCATCGGTTGTTTGCTGTGCGGATTGCCTATCGTCCTCCTCCTCCTCCTCCTCCTCCTCCTCCTCC